GGGGCTTCATCCCAAATTATTGTAGCAGAAACCCTAATGAGATTTACAAGATCGTTTTGCTTTTGAATACCACAAATGGAACTCGGTTATATATCGATAGGTATCTTAAATCGAGAGTGCGCAGTTCTACCACCGGGTAACAATGTTGCAGCTATACTAGATGATGCAGTTGCCAAAATAATTTCTCCTCTACTTCTTAAACTTGCCATTAATGCTCTATAAAGGAATGTTTTACATGTTCCTCCTGGACCATCAACAAAAAAATACCCCACTGTGTTTTCATCAATTACATTCATAATGGTTTTGAACGCAATCATTGGTTATTATTTAACTTAGCAACAGATTCAATATCTTCATTGGGGATATCGACCGCTACCCTTTTATCAAAGTTTAAATAAACAATATAATTTTAATTCGAGTACCACCTACTACTTTAATAAGATTATGATCAATTTAATCTTATTTTGTCAAATTTTAAAATAAGATTTTGTCTTGTTTTAAAATATAATAGAATAAACGGTGCACTCGACCGTTTATTCTACTACGAGGGAGGAACCTGTATGTCATCCTTATGCGTGGATCATATCTAGAAACACATAATTCTCTGTCATCCTTGACCAAAGTCAATGAAACTTAATCTGCTCATTGTAAAGAAGGTTAAACCAAACTATTTGAAACCTCAACTTGCAATTTAACATAACTCTAATAATGGAAGGATAATCTTGTAACCGAATAGAAAATATGCAAAACAAACTTACAAGAATAATAGAAATGTCACATTGAAAGAATAGGAGCTTGTCACTTGATAGTATAACAGAAATTTCAATTCTTTTAGGTTGTGATCTATTGGCTTTTTCGATAGTATTATAAGTATGATAGATGAAATAACTCTCTTAACACAGAAAGCCTCATAAATAAAAACTAAGTTTCTACTCATCCATAAACATCAAAATATATTGAATGATGGTGATGATTGTTATAACTTGTACTACTGTTCCTAAAATACACCTATATCACCATATAATTCAAAGCTACACCAAAATGTTTAAACTATAAGCATTCATATACTTTCACCAAACGCATTAAAAATTATATATTTAATATTTACTGTCAGGAAAAAAAAAACTAAACAAATAAAAGAGTTTGATTCTGTAGCAAATAAAATGAATATTCATATTTATAGCATTATATTTACAACTACGTGTTAACCTTTATTGTCAAGAATAAGAAAGTTAACATAGATTTGAAAAAAGAATGTAATATCTGTAATTGCAAGAAAAAATATTCTGAGACAAAATTGGACATATTTCAATTCAAGTTAGGTGATGTTTAGAAAATGAAAAGTGAGAAATACTCTCAAATTTATCTTATTGAAACTTTACGATTTTTACCAAAAGCGGATTCGGTTATGAATAACACGGTTTGAAAAATATAAACACTTACCCTATTTCAACTTAAAAGTATTCTTATTATTAAAAAAAACATAAGTAAAATATAAATGGAGTAAAAGAGACTATATAATATGTAAAAAAAAATCTCACTTTCGTTGTGAATGATTGTAGTTTTTGTTTTAAAAATTCTTCATTGAAGGGTTATAAATTTGCATAGGATAATCCATTACAACTTAACAAAATATAATTATTAATTTTTTAAATAATTTAAATAACTGCTCCGTAATTGAATGACTGTTACATATGATTGACAATTTTATTATTTTTAAGAGTATTTTTAAGTCAACACTTTAATTTTACTTTTGCAAGAAGTATCTAAGTGTTCCCATATCAAAATTTTTAAATATGCATTTATATGCATCTGCTCAATTTTAATATAAACGTAATATATATATATATATATATATATATATATATATATATATATATATATATATATATATATATATATATATATATATATATATATATATATATATATATATATATATATATATATATATATATATTGCATAATGAGTCATGAACATAATATGTAAGGGACTATTTTGAGTTTTCAAGATATATGATTAAATAAAACATTAGACTGTCAAAATCAAAGAACTTAACTTACCATAGTCATGTTATGGTGTGTTAAAATTAATGGTAGCACGTATGACTTCAGTCGTAATGAGAATGTTTTCTTCATCTGGGGTGGGAGTGGTCTTGATCGGAAATAAGCTTCATCTCCTCTTCAAGAATAAAAAGATCATTGATCAAAATTGAATAAATGAAAAAATTATAGAATGAATTTTTTTAAAAAAAAATAGTATGTTGGTTGAGAAAGAGATGGAATTTAGAAAAAGAAATAGAAGATATTTCTTAACTTGTGTCACAATCGACGGTTAACGCAAGTTATAGATTTAAGGTTTTTTGTGAGAGATGGAAGTGAGTTATTCAATTGGTAACCAACAAAAGTTACCAACCACTCAATTTATTCATAAAAAAGATAAATGATAATTTTGGAACAAAAATAAGCCACTCCAAAAACTTGTATCCTCTTTATATATACTAGCGTTCAGACGGGCACGGTCTATCCGCTTTTTTTAATGCGCACATTGTAGGTAAATAAACGTGGGTATATTTTGTATGAAGTTTTTATCATACTTAAGATTAATTAAATGCATTTGTTTCTAAATATCCTCAAGCAGTCTTAAAATCAGGATGATAAATGTATATATACTAAATATATTTTAGTGAATTAACTATACATTAATGCTACTATTATTTTAAACATATCGAATTAAATAAAATTTAGATTACAAAATATGTTGTCTAAACATGCTAATAATATTATTACATTTTGAAAATGACAAACAAAGTTATTCTAAATTATATTAAATAATCGAAGAAAACAAAGTACCATTTATACCGTGTAATCAATAACGTTCTTTAAGAGGAAGTCCGACGATAAAATCTTTATCTTGAGAATTTTTTCTCTCCCTGCAATTGTTTCGCGTAGTAAAGAAAAAATGTAAGACTCTCACATTAAAATTGCTTTAGAGAAAAATACAGTGAAAGTAATAGTAATTAGTGTAATATATTATTTTTCTACCTTGTAAAGATTCGAATCAATTCTTCATACATCCCTTTATCGATGCACTCTTGAGCTTTAAAAAACTACAAATACATTATGAAATGTCATATCAATAAAGAAATACATTCAAAACATGTGATTTTTTTTATTATAATCTGGTGTACTGAGACATAAATAAAGGTATACCTGAAGAATGAAGATATTTTGTTTCAGTTCAGATTTGGTAGAACAACAACCCTGACTTATTTTTGAATTACTTGGATTTCTGGTAAAAAAGGAAAAGCATGGGTTTAGTGAATATACATGGTTTCATTTACACAAACCAATAGTAAAAGTAAAACTCATGAATTCAAAAATATTATATAGACAAATATTATTAAATGAATAAAATAAAAACTTGTCCATCCTTTGAGATATTATTTATTTTTTCACCATTTTCCAAAGTTATGTTTTATCTGTTATCACTGTGGAGCCCCAACCGACAGAGTAAATTTTTAGATGCTTGACCTGTTTTAATAAGGATGATAAAAGTGTTAGTGAAAGAGTGGTAAAAATGCAACAAATAGATTTTTTCTATACATGTTGCGAAAAAGGTAAATGCACCTTATTGTCTAGCTTGCCTATAGATGAAATTGTTTATTCATCCTTCCATGTGTTCCATTTATCTTTAAAGTCTCCCATCTAAAATTTATTCCGTATAAGAATAGTGAGAATAAGTATGAGTCAATTGATTGATTATATTAAAAGGATAAAATAAATGATTAAGTATAGCTTACTTTTATGTCGAAGCATGTTTCAACATTCTTCCCTCTCAGCTCCTTACATAATTGGAAGACTTCATTGTGTTCTAGTTTGACTGTATATCAAAGCCACACAATTTTATACTTAGTTATACTTAGTTATTATTATCATATAAAGAATACAATATAATATTGGTATTTCGGGTAATTAAAATGGGAATCAATGTGTGAGAATATTTTTTTAATGTATGTAATGATACTTACGGGTGCGATAAAAGAATTTGTTTAAAGACTATATTTTTTGTGTAGTCACCATCTTCTCCTTCCAATTTTCCTTCCTTGGATAAAACTTTTGTTGTAGTCTGTGAAACACCTCTGGATAAAGCCACATATAACTGTCCATGACTGAAAACATGTTGTGGAAGATATATTCCAACATTTTGGATGGTTTGTCCTTGTTACTTATTTATTGTAATTGCAAAACTTAGTTGCACAAGAAACTGCTTTCTACTAAGGACAAAAGGCAACCCATCACTGGCCGATGTTTTTATTTTAATTTTTGGCAAGAAAGCTTGTCTTCCTGCGTTGTTTCCTGTCAAGATTTCCACATCCCACATATTCATATATAATCCATGACATAATAACTGCGTCCCATTACACAACCCATATCTAGGATCTAGATTTTGCAACAACATCAACGGTGCACCCTTTTTATCTTTAGAATATGTGAGGGCAAACTACCTTGTGCAAATGAGTTTAAGAATTCTTGCTGGTATAAATTATTATTATCCCCTTCAACCTTGTCAAATGATAACAAATTGTGTTCTTCTCCTGGAAACTGGGTCAATAATTATATCATTCAATTTTTGGACATCATCGTTGTTGGGGTCAAAATAGCTCTATGTACCATATAAAGGGCATCCCAACAATGCAATTCTAAATCAGGAAAGATATGTTGTATAAGCACTTGTACATAATGTTTATCTTCCCGTGGGACTGCAATCTGTGAAGGCAACCTCACCATGTCATCTGATTTGGTAGGTTCAACACCATCACCAATTCACATAAGAAATTCTGCAAACTCTTGATCATGCAATGATCGCATATTTTGACACAATCATAAAATTTTGGTATGAGCCCATAAATGAGACTGAATAATACACGCAGAAATTATTTGTACCTTAGTACCTTTTCTTACAACAAGAAGAACTTGACGAAAGTCTCCCCCCATGATCATAACTTTTCCTCCAAATGAGTATTGTTGCTACAAATGTCATGTAATGATCGATCTAAGGCTTCCAAATAATTTTTGTTTATCATTAGGGCTTCATCCCAAATTATTGCAGCAGAAACCCTAATGAGATTTGCAAGATCGTTTTGCTTTTGAATACCACAAATGGAACTCGGATGTATATCGATAGGTATCTTAAATCGAGAGTGCGCAGTTCTACCATCGGGTAACAACGTTGCAGCTATACCAGCTGATGCAGTTGCCAAAACAATTTCTCCTCTACTTCGTAAACTTGCCATTAATGCTCTATAAAGGAATATTTTACCTTTTCCTCTTGGACCATCAACAAAAAATACCCCACTGTGTTTTTGATCAATTACATTCATAATGGTTTTGAACGCAATCACTTGGTCATTATTTAACTTTGCAACAGATTCAATATCTTCATTGGGGATATCGACCGCTAACTCCTCCTATATGACACTTGGAATTGAATCTCCTTGTATTGTATCAAGGGGTAAATATGGGAGATCATAATCTTTAATCTTTTTACCGTGCAGATTTAAGAGTTCATTCAAGTCCTTCAACAACATATTAGTCAAGACCGATTCCACAATATTGTTTGTTGTTTGATAATCCTCTGTCATATGTGTAAAAAACTCATTCCAAAGGCTTCTAACATCAGTAGGTTCACAACATATGAGATTCATCACGAATAACCTCCTTAAAGCATATGACATTCGGAGACTCGCCGCTTCAACCAAGCAATCATGAATACTATGATCAGTCTCTAGAAATCCTCTATCCTCGGCTGATTTTTTGAATGTACTAAAAGAAGTGCCATTATTTGTAAGAAGATATTCCCAACTGGTTGGACCTCTGACATGAAATAACAGTACTCGCAAGTAAAACTTCTCTCCCTCCAAAGGTGATACCGTATAGATTCTCCCGATAACTTTTCTTAGTGCCCGCCTGCGATGCATTCCTTATCCCTATTATTCCAACAATAATGCTCTGGAATCTCTCTATACAGATAATTTCTTGCTTATGGATCTCTTAGATTTAAAGCAAAGAATTGTGTGAGCATTGTTTTGGAATTGCGTTCATTATTTAACAAATCCACAATTCGCTGATGATCATGAAAGCACACTTGATGGCGGTTCGACAAGTGGATCTGTAATCTTTCAACAGAAGGATATAATCGGTAAAGAGTGAAGCGAAATATTTTCTATAATGCCTCGGGAGCACAAATCCATCTTGCATCAACATATTGTTGAACTTCATCCATGTATAATCCCTTGTGAACCTCCATAGCCACACGATCAGGGCCCTTGTACACATATTTGTATAGATACTTGATACTTTCAATGCTACTGCAAATCTCTACATTGATGTGGCAGTCGTGATTAAACAGTAACCAAGGGTTATAAGGAACCGCCCATCTATTGTCGACAGACCTACCTCTACCTAACGATATAGGTTCATCAAATCTTCTCCTATACTCAGGATATGAGTCAGTGCCCTGATGTGTTTCATCCAAGAATTATTTTGGGTATCTTTTTTTACAATGTTCGTCTTTCATACATGGGGACTTCCGGTTCATAACGCCGCAAGGTCCGTGGATCATATGTTTTAGAACCGCTTCATGCAATTGTGGTTCACATTCTAACTTAGGTATTTGTGTTCTTACCACACTATCATACTCTTCTGGGCCACGCAATTTATCCTTACTTTCTAAGACCAACAACATATGCATATGCGATAATCCTCGTTTTTAAAATTTAGTGACATACATGTAGCTTTTAACCTTCCTTAACACTCCTTTATTAATAACATCATCCTTTAATTGCTCGAATTTCAAACGAAATATTCTTGTTAGCAAATATAGACGATCTTGTGGTGTTTGAAAAGGCAAAAGTTCTGATGTTATCTCACTTCAAGAAGGATTGCATGTCATTGTCAGAAAAACATTTGGTTTACCGCCATGAAGAACAATAGACATGCCATCTTCATAGCATTGCGTCATGTCTCAACGACCTCCAATAAATGATGATGGCAATATTGTTCTTTTTCCAATGTTTTCTATGGTGATTCATGAAATGTATTAGTTTCAGAATACATGAAAGATTATCATTATAAGTAAAACAACTAATTAGTACTCTAAAAATATATATATTTATGCTACATTATTTAGTACCTGCATTAGTTTCACCGACATGCAAAGCATCCTGTAAACCTTGGTACACTTCAGCACGTATATCATGTTGGTGCTCTCTAATCCACCTTAATCTTGCTGATTCAATTTTGACATCATTGTCTACAACATATTGTTGCAACAGTCGACCCGCATTTAACAACATTGATTGATCATTTGGGCGAATCTACAATTGATTGAAAAACATGTCGACGTTAAAAGTGATTTGTTTTAAACTACACTTATCTAAGTATACTATTTACTAAAATTAATCTAAATTTACCTGAAGCATGTAACTGTAATATGCTCGACATGACAATCTTCGTCCATTACAATTTGTTGTGTTAACGTCCCAACCATGTGTCCCAAATGGAAACAATATAGGATACTGCAACGGATCATAATACCCCTTTGTCTCTTGAACTTTCTTTAGAATTCCATCACGACGAATGACATTAATATCTCTTCCATATTCCATAGAATCTTAATCTCCTCCAACAATAATTGCCGCAACATGTTCTGTAGTTGGAAGATTATATTGATGGTGATTACTTGGATGCTCTTTAAGTATGAAGCTACATTCACCGATATTTGGAAGTTGTGACAGTTGTCTGAACCTAATTATAAAAGGATTAAACTAATGAAGCATTTTTTGCAACTTTTGAACTACATTTTGGTGGAGTTGTGGATTTCTTGCATTCTATTATGTAGCTCATTATTTGTGTCGTAGATGTATAGCTGTAAGAAACGCGGTCTGACACCTTTATTTGGATAGAAACCTCCTATGTTATGGTAAAAAGCACCTTGAGCATGAAATGTATATATACCACAACAAGATGCAAGAATATTCTCGTCAACGTGAACACCAATTGAAGTGAATGAGAGCACATGGTTGTAACTTCGAATATGTTTCCTAAAATGCCTTCCTTCTACTGAACCATCCAAAAATAAATGTCGCAATTCTATAGGAGCATTAACTCGTGAAAATAATACCTTTCCACCAGTACAACACGTATCAAGTGATTCATGATGAAACAATTTTGCATTGCAATATCTACAGGAAATTGGATTAGAAAACTGGGATTTTGGCATCATCGAATTATTTTTGAAATTTCGAGCAATATTGTGTCTTGCTCGAAAAGCGCGTCCTGATTCTACAGGGAGGAGTTTGATATTGATTACTAAATATTATCTAAAATATAAAATACAAATAAATAATTAACGCAAGATACCTAAATTAGAAGATTTAACATTGCATAAGTTTCAATTTTATGTCACTTGAGAATAAACTACATTATTTGGCACAAAAATGTTTATGAACATACCTTGAGGACGACATGATGCACCATCATTTATGGCTTCCATGTTAACATCTGATATTGCTGCATCCTCCAAAGCTTCATCAACATCCATATCGCCTGATACAAAAATAATAATTAACATATATATATATATATATATATATATATATATATATATATATATATATATATATATATATATATATATATATATATATATATATATATATATATATATATATATATATATATATATATATATATATATATATATATATATATATATATATATATATATATATATATATATATATATATATATATATATATATATATATATATAGGTTGAAATTACTGCTCGCATACGTAAAACAATATCCCGTATACCTGTAGCAGAGTGACTATTGTTGATACGTTGGTTAGGTGATGTGCAATTATGATTTGCGGGTTTAAATACATAAAATGAGAGATGACAAATAAACAATATTATACAATGTACGATTATAATGTCTATATTGATCATCACCAACCAAGTGCAACATCATTAACATGTGTAATTCTACTTGGGCCGGCTTCATTGTCATGAGTTCCTTGAAAGTGTGATATTGGAGATATCATATTTGTAAAATTTTGAAATGGAACTCTCCTCCGACTGTTCATAGTGCGAGATGTTTGAGCTTGTTTATCTTGCTCTTTTTTCCACCTATAATTTTCACGTCGTTTCGATAAATAATTTTCTCTTTGCTCGATGTTCATATTTTGTCTCCTCTTCCTTTCATTTTCGGACCTTCTTGCCCTTTGTTGTTGACTTGATATCTGACGGGTATTATTTTCCATTTTGTTAATGTAACTGTCAAACACATATGCAATTTATAAGTACATAATTTCACTAATTTTGTTGAAAAGTATTGGTAAATATAGATGAGATTTAAAATAAATACTTTTTTTTTGAAAAAAAGAAGTTTACACCAAAAAGTATTATTTGTAAAACATATGTTAAAAATATAAATCAAAACTAAAATATAAAAAAGACGAAGAAGAAATGGGCAATCAATAAAAAGAAACATAAATATTGTTGGACAAATAGATGAAAAGATTGCACATTAACTAAATATTAAAATATAAAATGGGGTAAGAAGTAAAATTAGTGTAATTTTTGTTATAGATAAAAGATATATTAAAATAAAATGAGAAAAGATAGTGTTATATTCCTTGTAGGTTCATAATAATATTTTTATATTACTCCAAATTATTTTATATTTTAATTAACTCATAATATTATCATTGAAGCTTTTTTCATTGATCAAAAGTAAATTTTCATCTTTTTATTAATTAGTACAATAATTATGTATACTATGAGTGTTAAAGAATATCATTTATTTAGTTCACTTTAGAAGGCACACTGGTGACATAAAATATGCATATAATAGTTATTAGATAAATTTATATATTATGAGTGTGCATTAATATGCTAGTAAATTATAGAGTAGTAAAATATAGTATATAATTATGATAAAATACGCTATTACTATGAGTGTGGATTAATACCAAATATGCGTGTGCACTAATTTATATTACAGATATGCATATAATATTGTTAACGTTAACTACTATTAAAATATGATATTAATGCACACTAATATTAGATAAAAAAAACACTTTATTAATCCGATTCATTTTAGCATAATTGTAACAATCTAATATTATGAGTGTAGCTTCAATGAAAATATTTTTAAATTATGTATAAAAGTTCATTTTAGTACAATAATTATAATTTATTAATTTTGTACAACCCTTGGATAAAATTGTTACAGTTATTTAGCGTATATGCTAGCTCTCAATTGTTATAGTTTGTTTTAGTATGTTACAGTTATTTTTAAATACTCTTAAGTATGTTACAGTTATTTAGAAATAACATTCTCTCTTAAAATTGTTACAGTTATTTCTTACCTTAAAATTGTTACAGTTACAGATGAATTTATTTAGTATGTTATAATTATTTATAAATACTCTCTTAAATGAATTTTTTCAAAGTTACAATTATTTAGCGTATATGCTAGCTCTCAATTTGTAAATAACAAATTTATTTTTTTTCCTAACACTTGGATAAATAATATACAACCAACTTTTTACTCAACTGAAGATTAAAAAAAACGGCTGATGAATAGTTCATATAATTTAAAAATCAATGGCTAGCAGTTAAAAAAGCATCATAACCGGCAAATACATCAAACACTCTAAAAAAATTAACTGCAATAGAAAATGAAAAAAAATTGTTAACCGAAGCCACTTAATTTATAACTCCGGCATCTCATTGATATAAATTTAAATGAACTTTTCTCTATATAATTTGATTGAAAAAAAAATATTCATTTATTATATATATGGTCCTAAAATATAAATCCTAAAATGTATAAAATATTAGTTATATTATATTATAGGATGATAGATGTATATATTTGATTAGTATATATGCCTATATACTAACCCTTGGAAATCACTCCCACATTCTATAATGTATATTCTACAATAATTCTAGGCAATATTATATTACCTATTCTCTATATATACGCCCCTTGAAATGTATATAATGCACTGGGGCTTATTGAATTACTAGGTATGCATATATGAACGTATTTTTTTTTATTGTGATTATGCAAGGAATAGGGCATAATGTCTACCTATTTTATTGTATACATGGTTTTATTATGTAGCTCATTATCTGTGTCGTAGATGATAACTATAAAAAAACGCAGTTTGGCACCTTCATTTAGATAGAAATCTCCTATGTAATGGTAAAAAGCACCTTGAGCATGAAATGTATATATACCATAACCAGATGCAAGAATATTATCATCAACGTGAACACCAATTGAAGTGAATGAGAGCACATGGCTGTAACTTCGAATATGTTGCCTAAAATGTCTTCCTTCTACTAAACCATCCAAAAATAAATGTTGCAATTCTATAGGAGTATTAACTCGTGAAAATGATACCTTTCCACCACTACAACACGTATCAAGTGATTCATGATGAAACAATTTTGCATTGCAATATCTACAGGAAATTAGATTAGGAAACTGGGATTTTGGCATCATCGAATTATTTTTGAAATTTCGAGCAATATTGTGTCTTACTCGAAAAGCGCGTCCTGATTCTACAGGGAGGAGTTTGATATTGATTACTAAATATTATCTAAAATATAAAATACAAATAAATAATTAACGCAAGATTCCTAAATTAGAAGATTTAACATTTCATAATTTTCAATTTTATGTCATTTGAGTATAAACTACATTATTTGGCACAAAAATGTTTATGAACATACCTTGAGGACGACATGATGCACCATCATTTATGGTTTCCATGTTAACATCTGATATTACTGCATCCTCCAAAGCTTCATCAACATCCATATCGCATGATACAAAAATAATAATTAACACACACACACACACATATTTATATATATATATATATATATATATATATATATATATATATATATATATATATATATATATATATATATATATATATATATATATATATATATATATATATATATATATATATATATATATATATATATATATATATATATATATATATATATATATATATATATATATATATATATATATATATATATATATATATATATATATACGTTGAAATTACTGCTCGCATACGTAAAACAATATCCCGTATACCTGTAGCAGAGTGACTATTGTTGATACGTTTGTTAGGTGATGTGCAATTATGATTTGCGGGTTTAAATACATAAAATGAGAGATGACAAATAAACAATATTATACAATGTACGATTATAATGTTTATATTGATCATCACCAACCAAGTGCAACATCATTAACATGTGTAATTCTACTTGGGCTGACTTCATTGTCATGAGTTCCTTGAAAGTGTGATATTAGAGATCTCATATTTGTAAAATTTTGAAATGGAACTCTCCTTCGACTGTTCATAGTGCGAGATATTTGAGCTTGTTTATCTTGCTCTTTTCTCCACTATAATTGTCACGTCGTATCGATAAATAATTTTCTCTTTGCTCGATGTTCATATTTTGTCTCCTCTTCCTTTCATTTTCGGACCTTCTTGCCCTTTAATGTTGACTTGATATCTGACGGGTATTATTTTTCATTTTGTTAATGTAACT